TGGAAATTGTCCATTAAAAATGATTTTTTTTACAATTGTTTATGAAATTTATTAACATTGCCAAAATGTAAAAAAAAAAAAAAAAATTTGCTCGAAAACTATTTTTTCACTATTTTTTCTTTAAAATTTAGTGTTCGTTTGATTTCGCTTTACATGAAAATTGTCCATGAAAGTTAATTTTTTTTTACAATTGGGTATTATATTTATTTCCATTGTCAAAAAAAATAAAAAAATAAATAAAAATAGCCAGCAAGTTGGAATCCATTTTCCCACCTTTTCATTTCAAGGAGTTTAGGGGCGTGGACCCTTGGCTGGGAAAACTTTTTCCAAGCCAAATTTTGGCTATCAAACATCACAAATGGGTGGAAATTGAATTGTTTTTCCATTTTCCATGGAAAAAGTAAGGTATCAAACATGGCCTTAATATTAGAATAGATTGTTATCTTACCTAAACCGATCAAATTATTGTTTTTTCCTTAAAAAACTAGAAGTCTAGAAGCACAAGTTTAAAAGTTAAAAGTATAACCTAATTTAAAATATTATTTTTTAAAGAATTCATTTAATGATTTAAATTTTATTAATTTCAAATTTTGTTCATAAATTAAATAATAGATCTTATAAAGTTTTCTTATTTTCTTTATATTTATACAGTTGTATCTTATATTATTTGTTGATGACCCGATTTTACACTCATCTTAGACCCACTTCCTAAGTTACTAAGAAAGTAAGAAATGAGATTTTCAAGGCCTGAAACGAAGGTCGCCATGGGAAAACATATTTTTAAGTTGACTAAAAGGTTGTCGTTTTTTAGAAACATAATCGTTATCCAGTCAAAGGGATATTCCCTGGTTATGTTAGTGCCTCCCCATTCACCATTTCACGAATGATAGGAGAATCTCCAATGTCGCCAACGTATCATCAACCAATCAAATGGGATTAGTGATTAACTGGTACCAATCATCATGACCTAGGTCACATACTGTGCCCTAGAAAAAAATGATAACTTGACAACCGATCTCAATAGACAATTAAGACCCTTAAAATAGGACATGACACACTAATCCAGGTCAAACACCGTAGCATGATGGGACTAAGGGTGGCGAGCTCTAGTTATCTTGACTATAAATAGGGATAATGGTTCCCCACCAAATGCCGAACTCAAACACCCTTTGTAATACCCTCCCAAAGCCATTTTCAATAAAAATTACTACTCATTCAATAATGGTCCATTCGAAATTCTATAAATGGATCCTTGCCTCCCCCCATATTGAGGAAAAAAACACTCACTCACTCACTAACAGCAACCTTCCTCTATATTAACGGATCTTACTTATAAGAAAGTGAACCAACTATTGTACCAAATGACAGTTTAAAACGGGAAATTATTGAAAATGACCTAAATTCAACCATAACCTTTCCAAAATAACCCTTTTCACTATTCAACCATATAAACTACCTAAAATACCCTTAAAATAAAAGGTTTCAAAACAAGTCATTTTAGTTCTTAAAACTTTAATTCTAATTTTGGATTCGACAAAATTGTTTGCCCCTTA